GCCAGTCACAGCATGGCGGGTACGGGGATACTGCGCTAGCCGGGAGCCAGTCACAGCATGGTGGGTACGCTGATACTGCGCTAGCCGGGTGCCAGTCACAGCATGGCGGGTACGGGGATACTGCTCTAGCCGGGTGCCAGTCACAGCATGGCGGGTACGGGGATACTGCGCTAGCCGGGTGCCAGTCACAGCATGGCGGGTACTGTGCCAGTCACAGCATGGCGGGTACGGGGATACTGCTCTAGCCGGGTGCCAGTCACAGCATGGCGGGTACGGGGATACTGCGCTAGCCTGGTGCCAGTCACAGCATGGCGGGTACTGTGCCAGTCACAGCATGGCGGGTACGGGGATACTGCGCTAGCCGGGTGCCAGTCACAGCATGGCGGGTACGGGGATACTGCGCTAGCCGGGTGCCAGTCACAGCATGGCGGGTACGGGGATACTGCGCTTTGTGTCCGCCATGTTGGGGTTGGCTATCCGTGTCCGCCATGTTGGGGTTGGCTATCCGTGTCCGCCATGTTGGGGTTGGCTATCCGTGTCCGCCATGTTGGGGTTGGCTATCCGTGTCCGCCATGTTGGGGTTGGCTATCCGTGTCCGCCATGTTGTGGTTGGCTATCCGTGTCCGCCATGTTGTGGTTGGCTATCCGTGTCCGCCATGTTGTGGTTGGCTATCCGGGTCCGTGTCCGCCATGTTGTGGTTGGCTCTCTGTGTCCGCCATGTTGTGGTTGGCTATCCGGGTCCGTGTCCGCCATGTTGTGGTTGGCTCTCTGTGTCCGCCATGTTGGGGTTGGCTATCCGGGTCCGTGATGTTGTGGTTGGCTCTCCGTGTCCGCCATGTTGTGGTTGCGGCTAGCTATCCGTGTCGCCATGTTGTGGTTGGCTATCGGTATCGCCATGTTGTGGTTGGCTATCCGTGTCCGCCATGTTGTGGTTGGCTATCCGGGTCCGCCATGTTGGGGTTGGCTCTCTGTGTCCGGCATGTTGTGGTTGGCTATCCGTGTCCGCCATGTTGTGGTTGGCTATCCGTGTCCGCCATGTTGGGGTTGGCTATCCGTGTCCGCCATGTTGTGGTTGGCTATCCGTGTCCGCCATGTTGGGGTTGGCTCTCCGTGTCCGCCATGTTGGGGTTGGCTATCCGTGTCCGCCATGTTGGGGTTGGCTCTCCGTGTCCGCCATGTTGGGGTTGGCTCTCCGT